TCCATTAAATTCGGCGTCTGATGTTATTCTGTCGCTTGCGATGAACTTAACGCCATCTTGCTAGTTCAAGTCGATGCAACTGCGCATGTTTTTTATCAATAGCCGCTGTAATTTGACGCGACGAAAGTTCGACGTTGGAATCAAAGCAGATTTTTGGTCGTTTCGTCCGACTGGTGCACACGAAATTTATTTTTCTGTTGCACTTAATCAGTATCTTAGTGTTATTACCCATTCCAAGGTCGAAGAAAAGACTGGGTCGAGTTGGTATTGCAGTGCATTGTGGGACTGTTTTAGGGGACGAAATGGACGCCATCTTAGAAAATATGTGCCCTAAAACAGTCACACAATGTACTGCAATACCAACTCGACCCAGTTTTTTTCCTCAACCTCGAAACGGCTAAAAGGATTGTGATCGTAGCTTACGAATATAAGTTATTTAACATATTAAGTCAGTCAGTCAGTCAGTTGTAAATGAATAATGAATAAATCTATCAAAGTAAGAAGATAAGTTCGCTGCAGCTGGGCAGCTCTTGCATCACGAGAGTAAAACGTATCTTAGTCCAATTCAAAACATTTTGTATATTTGGAGAAAACAATCATTTCATTTCCGTCTAACCCGGTCTTGAATTACTGCAAAAACGTGTTGATGTGCACGCTTGTGCAAGTGTTTTTCTCTAGTATCCATATATATAGGGTATAGAACGTTTATAACGTTTCTCTAGTGTCCATCTATAGCGAGCATAGGATAATTGTACCCTAAACTAGACCAGAATGCACCACTTCCATATACGTCGGCCCTCCAGGCCACAACAGGACTTGCTCCACCACATTCTCGCCTGCTTTACAAAAAGCAATCTATATTCTTAACTACCAAATTTACTTCTCAGCTTGATATCTTTTGTTCAATCGGTAAGTCATTTTGGTTTCTCCTACTTAGCCCTTCGCCAGTAATACAGATAATCAGTGACAGAGTCTTGTTAACCAGATTAAAATCGGTATGAAAAAACAAATGCTCTTATTCTATTGCTCTTTACACTTTATCCAGGTTTTGCAGCGGTCAAAAATGTTCGCTCCCTACGCTAATTTTTCAAACCTTTTCACCGCCTTTTCATTCTAAATTGTCTTTCGACTGCATTCATTATTATTCATGGAGCTTATTTGAATCGTTGATTACGAAGTCGAGCGAACGAGAAACTCTGCCTTCAGGATAGCATCTGGACTTCTTTAACTCAGTGTCCGAAGTATTAGCTTCAAAGCAGTAATCGGATTAGAAAAACCATAAAATAAAGAAGTGAAAAGAGGCATAGAAAAACCTTACGGAGGTCATAGCTCTCTAAAGATCAAGAGTGCACACCTTATATTCGAGAGACCACATCACGTCTCTGTCCACTGAAAATAACATCGATCTCTGATGCTAAACTGAAAGCCTTGAGTTGTTGTTTGTTGCTATGAAGACTGACCTTGGTGAATGACAGGGTCAGCCGGATAGTCCAGTATTTAGGATGTGAAAACACATTATACTCAGACACAAAAAACACGATCAGAAAGCCAACACATTAACGAGTAATAGAATTAAGATTGCAGTCATTCTCTTGGTGTTTTCTTTTACCATTTTTGCGGATGGCGGCGGAAGGAGGGCGGCCAGAAAGGGAACCGCCACTTCACTTCACTATTTTTCGCAAATATTTTTATAAAGAATAACGCAACACGATTAACGTATTAACCATGTTTTTAAATGTTTCCGGATTACAAATATTTGGCCTATAAACTTGTGGCTTATCAAAAAAACATTGCTTTTCCATCGATGTAAAGCTAGATTTACCTGGAATCTATGGCTCGTGATTTTCTCAATAGGATCGTGCAATTTTCTGAAGAAAAATATAGTCTAATAAGATAAGTAATAAGTAAAGAAGCAGCAGATATACTCAAATTAAAGCCGTCAAAATAATAAATCATCCTGATGACTTGCACTTGAACGAGCCATTCTTATTTTGAACATCCTACTTAATCTACCCACGCATTGTGAGAGTACTTGCAGTTAGAATTTCTACTCGTTAGCGACATCATTATCTTTAGAATCAGTCATTATTTCACGATACTACTTAGTGACCTTATTATTTAAGACTAAAACTACTAAGGACTTTGGCTTTACGATTATTAGCGAAAGGCATGCGGTCTATGCTACTTATGCGCATGTGTGACCACGTCTGCATTGTCCACAATTCTCAGACGAAAATCTGCTACTAGCGTTAATATAAACATCCTCTTGAACGAGCCAATTGATTCAACTTTAATAGGTATTAACTTAATTGGTTTAAATCAATAGATAGGTATTCGGCGGCAGCTCTCAACGGTCCGGGAAGAATAACTTAAGTACGTTATTGAAAACCAAGTTAAAAAGCCATGATCTTTTATTCCTATTGATGGGAACTTGAGTATATTTTTTGGCTTTCTGTTTTGATCTAAAGTACTGCTATAAACGAATCTTTAAGTTGTAGTTGCTTCAAGCCTAAACAAAACCTTACTTGATACCCGTTTAGTACCAAGAAGTGAGTACAAAAGGCGATGACACTCTTCAGTTTGGCATCAATGGAATTCTATTTACCATCAGTTTTCGCTTATTTACCACTAGACATTAAACACGATGAGAATGACCGAAATTGTCCAAGTCAATTTACAGCAAAATATACGCCCGCGTTCGGGAGCCAAATGTACAGAAATCAAAATGTACAGAACATAATGGATACGGGAACGAACTAAGCTCTTGTCGCGCCAAAAGACATCTCCATAACTTTTTAATCTGTAATAGCTTATGCGTTTCGCCACCCAATCCTGATTATAATCATGTCCTTAAAAGGTTTGCATCTCAGTGACCTTTGAAATGAAACGGCACAAAAGAGCTGGAAGAACTGGTTAGTTTTCGCAGGGACTATGCTGGATGAATTGAGTTCCTATCTCCTAATGTGGTAAGCACTATGGAACGATGACTGTCACTTAATGAGGCGTTCAAGGTCAATCTATGAGATTATTAAGTAATATTTTTGAACTATTCTTTCACGCATAATTCAACGTCATCGCTATTTTACACACCTACTAAGCTACTCCATGCATCCACACTATACTAGACTTGCTTCAATACATACGCGGTACTTATTGGATGTCACACGGCTTTGTGTTGTTAATAACATTTCTCTCAATCTAGTTTTAATTACTTTCGCACTGGGATGGATTGTGCAGTAATTGAAATAAGTCTAATTTACATGCAAATAAGAATTTTATCTTCTTCTGTCAAACTTTATTAGTCATCCCACATGGAAAGATACTCTTAAGCGTAGGTAGATAGGTTTTTCACGATTACTTCTGCTCCCGTACGTCTCACGAACTCTTTTCTCTTTGAAAGTCTAGTGAACAGACAGTTTTAGATCACTTAAGTTTGAACTCAAACATAATTTGAACCCAAAAGATTTACTAAAAGGACAAAGTATTATCGAACCAGCCGAGTCATTTATTATTTCACTAACTGTCATAACATTTCGATCAAAACAATATGCTCGAGTCGTTATTGAAAGTCTTTGTTAATTTTAATTGGTCGCAATTAATAGTCCTAGTTAACTTTATCGAAGTTATAAAGTTGGAGTTATGTAATAAGGTACTCACGGTTTTCGAAAACAATTCCGAGGGAGTTTCCAATACGATGCGTAATAGGTACGGCTTTGTAAACAATTCTATCACACCCACTCTAGCAACTACTAGATTATAGAAAGTTCTTTAAGCAACTATTGAGCGACTCTGATCGATTGACCATAACGAGCCTATCGATTTATGTCAAATCCATTCAGTGGCTTTTAGAAGCTCAATTACATTATTATTTCAGTAAACTAAGTTTTTATAGTGTGATGTTGCATGCCGAATTCCACTCTCGTGTTTTAAATACCTGAATCTGTATTTCTGTTGGAGTGAGTCATTGAGTTGGGGCGGTTAGTTAGAATGCTTTTAATATGATGCTGTGACAAACCTGTAGCGCTCTGGTCATCCAGAAATGTTTAAAATCAACCGACGCTGCTATTACAAACTACTGTACGGCTCACTTCACATCTATTATTACTGTCTCTCAACAAAGGCCCTGTAGTGGTGCATTGTACAACGTTGAGAAAAAAGAAGCTCCGGAACTGACCCTGTTTTGTGTCAGTGCTTTTTGATTGCGTAGAACCAGTGAGAATCGTTTATAAAAGCGAGGAAAAAAACGGGAAAATTTCACCATTATTATAGTAATCTCTCTTCAACTATCAAACCAAAACGCGAGTTGTCTGAAGCTCAACGTCGACTGTGTTAGTCGTAGAAGTACAGAGAAAAAGTTTCTAGAAGTCTTTCCTGTTCTCGTTTTGTGAAGCCGTTAACAGGTAGGGGAAACCATAGTTAAATCTCCCTCTTTTAACTACGGGGAAACAGAACAGTTTTGCTTCTTAATTTTATCAACATTAATACTATCAAATCGATACGATCACCGACAAGTCAAAACACTATGGAATCAAATTTTGTACGTTAAGACTAGAGGTCAAGATCTTTAAAAAACTGAGACAAAAAAAAAAAAACACTACTTTATCTTTCGCTTAGATATAGAATATTAGATTCATTAAGAATAGTTTGTTCAATTCTTAGTTTCGGAAATTGTTCCTTTTTTGCCTGGGGGTAATGGTTTTGGTGTTAGTAATCGTACAAATTTAGTGAGCCTTTTCTAAACTAGGAACAAATTCAGTTTTAATTGATCTAATCAAGATAGATTCTCAAGATAGATAGTTTTGTCTCGGGTATTCTATTTTTACCGCAATAGAAACCCTAAGCTTGGCTAAGAATCAAGACGGCGGTTTGTTGGTAGACACGCAAAAAAATGTTGTATGACTCATGATAATTTGCACGATGAATTGTCATTCTCTGATACGATCATTCTTAGTAAGACTAGTTCAAAGAGCGATGTGTAATGCTTGCTTCTTCTCTTGCAGATGTCTTCAATAGTATTTCTATTGTGTTTGCTAAGCGCTGTCAGATCAGTGGATCTGCGAGCAAATCAGAGAGGAGTCAGGAACGATGACTCTATGATAGAAGAGTTGTTTCAAATTAAAGAAGATGAGTGGAAGGACAATTCAGATGTAACCTTCGACAAAAGGTACGATACTTTGATTTTATTTATTGATCTTACTCAATCTTACTACAACTCTTTCTCTCATTCATTCGCGTATAGCCATTAAGATCCACGTTTTCCAGACTCCTTAAGTCCTGGTTCAAACTTTACCTTTGGTATTTATTACTATGATCTAAAGGAAATAAATTATCTTTCAAAAATAATAGAAATACAAGAAAAAGATTCGCAGTTTATCATGCTTGTACAACTAGTCATAAAATTTCTTTAGAATGTCCTAGGAAGGTAAGAGTTCATGTGGAATTTTTTTCAGTAAATTAACAGTTTTCTTTTTTTCAAAAATAATAAAAATATAAGGAAACTATATAATGGGTGAAAGTGAAAATATGCCGTAAAAGTTGTTTTAACTACTGAATTTAAAAATATTTCGTGTGGTGTTTTTTCTCGGTAAATTAACAATAATAATGAATCGAGGGCGTTTCTTGTCAGTCGTAGTTGTGAAGCCACATTCAGTAACCACTCACGACAAGCCTGTTGGTTGTTTATTTGTTGCTACTCAAATCTTTCTATCAGTTATTCTTTGAAAGCGTAGCTCAAGTTTCTTGAAGTTTTAGGGCAGAGACACTGGCCGAACTTGAATCAATATCAATGACAATTTAAGCATCCTTGTATTTTCAGTTTTTTGTTGTTTTTGAAAAAAAAAAAAAGTTTTAAATTTTTAAATTTTTGTCATTGTTCTTTCAAACTTTGATATAAACTTTTCAAACCTGGCTGGGCTAATATTCATAATGGTTTTTCATCTAAAAATAAATAGATGGATAAGAAAATGATAATAATAACAAAAACAAATGCCATGATTTTTGCATTTGAATTTATAATAATTCTTAGTAATGAAGTTTTGTCAATCTCCACCCCTCCCCCGTGAAAAAACCCTCTTGTGATTAAGAAAAGGTTTCAAACTGGTCAGTTTTCTGACAAACGCTAAGACAGTTTTAACACGTTAATCACGAAGCTAGGTCAAAAAACGAATGACGTAATCTTTATATCACGTGACAGGTGGGTGTTTAAGTGACAGGTGCTGTAAAGTTCACGTGGAAGTTTACAAAAGTATTGAATGTGTGCCGTGCGTGGGGCAACGACACACCCAGGAGTGACTTGCGTGATTAAACATAATATTTTTTCTTTATCAGTTTCCTTTTGCTCATCATAATCAATAGCGTAGTGAACTGATTCTAAAAATAGCTTAAAGATTCGGACAAACATTGCATTCTGTTTAACYGCTACGAGGATTATACGAACCGATTTTATTATTTTTACTTAAAGTTACAATAATAACCCATGTAAACTAAGATCAACTGCGATCGGCTGTGAAAATTATCTGCTGAAAGTAAACTTGTAAATTTGTTTGTCGAATTTCGCCTTTGTCTTCGTTTTTATGACGTCACGGTTGCGCTACGCTATTACGGTTCGTATAAGCTTATTCACTCACTAGTTTTAATTCTCTACTCGCTTGGAGTGCATATTGAACAGCTGTTATGAAGGCACTCGTCCACATCGGAGACTACGTACACGGAGCTAATGCGGCCAGATGGTTAATTAAAATAGAAATACCCGAGACAAAATACTATCTATCTTGAGAATCTATCTTGATTAGTTCAAATAAAACTGACAAAATGCAATACTGACGAAATCTAATTTATGGCGAATATTTGATAATAGAGGCTTTGCACCATTACGTGAAGGCGCCCATAATACAATAAATTATATGGCAGAACAATAAAATCTCTCATGTAAAACGATTCTATTGTTCCTGCAATCTAACATGGCTGCCGTCACGTGATGATGCAAAGCCTCTTTACTTACAGTATCGTTTGGCAAGTGAGAAACCTTCAAAATTACTTTCGTGGATAATATTCAATTTGGTTGCATGATATTAGAACGAAGACACTTAAACTGGAGCTTGCTTACGTCATGCATGACCGACCCAATCCTTAATCCTAAGTTAAGTAAGCCTGATACATTTGCTTCAACACGCGTTTCTCCCGTGCTTCTTGTTTGCAATGCTTGTGAGGAATTAATACTATCTCCAAAACCAAAACGTTAAAAACAAAAACTTGAAAAAACACTGTCCAAGCAAATGTTTAAAAAGGCAGGAAAAGCATAAAAAGTACACAAAAAACAACAACAACAACAACAAAAAAAAACCCCATAAAAACAACAAAAAGAAACACAAAAACACAAAAGCACACAGCAACAACAAAAACACACGAAAAAAGTTAAAACATATTCACTTTGTAAAAACAAAACTATCAGATGTATCAACCACTAGCAGGCTTATTAAAACAAGTTGTCATAGTCGGTTTCAGAATGTGGACGTATTGTTTGACGTAATCGGCAGCGTTTTATGAGTTAGCGCCATTATTTGGAGTCAGTTGATATCTAGAATCGGTAAAAATAATCCTTTCAGCTCAAGAACTATTCTTATTTCATTTTCATAGGCGAATCTATTTCCTGTAGTTAAAAGTGGGCATTTTCGCCTACAAATAAATAATGCAGATGACACTCTGCATGGGGTACCGGATATATGAATAGCACAGGTAACAGGTGCGGACACACCAGGGTACCGGATATTCTACGGCTTTCTTTGCATTTAAAACAAACTTGATCGAACAGCAGGACCACCCAGATATAGTTCAAAGGCCTGATTAGATGGCTTAACTGATTTATTATAAGAATCAATCTAGGTATACAGGGTTGCAATAATTCATCACCAGTCGAACCACCCACCTGATCAAGACAATCAGTCAAAGTCAAGGTTAATCAGATTTACTGAAGATTTTTGATGAACGGTTTTAAGAGCATCACTGAGAATATGATATTCTTTCGCCGTAACTCCTAAGAAACGCCAAGATCAATACAGATGGAGAGAACTAGAAGTCTTTGGATTAGTAATAAAGATTACATACTTGCATAACGTCTCGACAAGAAAATATGAACTACTTAGTTCATTTTCTCTTGGTCTCGATCAATATTCATTTTTTAGACTCACATGTTTGTTCACATTCGAAATGCAATATGAAATGAAAACAAGCTTTTAACTCTTCACGAAAACCTGAATTAATGAAGGGAAAGGGTAGGCAAGATGAAGAGGAATGTATTGGTTACATATAATACTGATACTACTTTGCCCTATTTAGTACTAAATCAAGGGCGGATCCAGGGGAGGGACGGGGGGGTCGCGATCTCCCTGTCATTCCTGAGGTCAAATGGGCTTCCGGTGGTAAAAATGCGACTGGGATTCCTTTGCCCACTAAATTTACCCCCGAGACCCCCCCTTCAAAAAACCCTGGATCCGCCCTTGTAAATAACACTAATTTAGCAATAGAAAACAAAATAACTAGCATAATTTATCACAATTAAGTAGTATTTGGGTTGCACGCTTGTTTGTACTGTAATAAGGACTTGCAAACTTAAGTGACATGCCAAATGAATAAGTGATTGATTGCGATAGTTCTTTAAATGCCAAGTTGCCTTTACTGAATCGAACTATCTGTCAGTAAGTTTACACATGTCGATGTTTAGTCATAAGCCGTTTCTGACGGTGAATATGGTGCATTGTGGTCTAGCTTGGGTAAAAACCTCTATTTTTCACCGTGCCTTGCTACTTGCGAAGCGGGACCAGAACTCAGAACCAGAAATTTTTCGCTTCACAAAGTCAAAAAGTACCTTTTGATCGTAAGAGACCTATAAATTAAAATTAAAATTTTCTCTTCTCTACAGTGAGTCAAGACTCCCCAGAATATGGAAAACAGTCCAATACTCGCCCAGGCACTACAATCCTTGTACTATACAAATAAAACATTGGAAAACAAATGAATATCTGAATCAAAAGCAGTACGACTTTCAACCAGATGAAATAAGAGTAAAACATTGTAACGGCACCAACTCGAACGGAATTGTAAAACGAGGCTGCAGAACCACCATGGATTGCGTGACCACGTACGAAAGAAGAAAATTTATGCGCAAGACAAAAGGCGCGCCTTGCACTCAGTGGTATGCATACCAGAATGATATTCCAGTAGGATGTGAATGTATGATAAGTAATTAACCTTGCATAAACACTAAAAAATGCCTTTTGGGGAGTCGATGACTCTAAACGAGAATTGTTTTTTGGGGAAAAAAAAAACACACTTCTAAACCCTTTGAAAAAGATAAGACAATTAATTACTATTTTTTCCATGTGCTTTGTTCTGCCGGTTTGAGAGATCAAATAATTTAGTTTCAGCACTTTTTCCAAACCTTTTTTCCTATAATAGTAACATTGAGTTAATAACATGCATTAGTTTCCATGGCAACGTCTACTCTCGCAAAGGATCATGGTTTCTAACCGGCGGCACCTTAAATACATTTGGTTTTAATTTATAAACGATTGCCTGAATGGAACAGAGTGGTGGTTGGGCAAAACAGGGTCACCTGTCCTGTTACTGCAAATAGCCAATCATATCGACTGACTATTACGTAATAACTCAGTCCTAATGACCTAAACTCACCGCTCTGTTCTGAAGGGCCTCATTAAATCCGTAATGGCGAAATGACCAATACCCGTCTAAATTCCAAATAAAATTCAGTTGTTGAAGAGCCACTCTGTGGAAATGCCATTGTTATAATTATATTCTATATATTTTTCCAATAATATCATTTACCCAATTAAGCACTTTCTATTTTAGAGAAGTATTCTTTCCCTTTACGCCAAATCAGTATGAAATAGATTTAATGTCGATTTGAAAGTTTAACTTAAAGTTGTATTTTAAATTCATGTTAAAATCTTATACAATGACAAACGGCTTTTGAGCCGTTTTTTTAAAAATTCACCTTGTTAATACTATTAAAATATTATTCTATTTAGTTTAAATGTGTGTAAGTTCTTCCACTACGCAGAGTCATCTTAGCTGCACATCAGCTTTAAAATGTTCGATAAAAATATCCCTATGTTTATCATCGGAAAAAAAAAAGTTTTCGTTCTATGAGAATTTGCGACGACAAACATTGAAACCTTCAAATTTTCGATAACCTGGAACAAGCCCATTCGGGCTCGAGGACTTATTGATGGTTTTCACGGCGACCATTTTGGAGGAACTTGACAAAAGAATTGTCAATGAGTTCATTTGTTATATCCTCCAACATGGCCGCTGTGTCTTTTGTTATTTAATTCTCTTGGGAATGGTTGAAAACCATCAATTGCTAAATAGTTATAATCACATACAGCTTCCATGCATGCCTTCTTCTTGCCACTGACCGCACTATTCGGAACCTGCTTCTTGATTGCACTTAAAGCACTTCTTTTGTTGGGTTAGGTTTAGTTTAATGGTTTAAGAGACCAATCTATTGTCATTTTAATCTTGTGTATTTCTTTTTAAACCCAAACTAAAGAGGTCTATTGACTACTGATCGGAGAAAGCGATAAATAAAGAATTTAACGGTCTTAGGTTATGACTGACCTATAGCTTAAAGCAGGGTCATTCTAAGCGTTAACTTGTTTTACCGAAGAGTAAGTTCTTCTCATTCATGAAAAGCATCTGAACGGCCTCCAATTTCTCACAGCGGGCATCACCCCATGGCTAAACCGGTTAAAATGTTTTATTTATTCTTCGTGCAAGTGTAAAATAACAGCCAACAGAACAAACACAGTTTTATCCACGATAGTCTCTCGTCATTTAAAAATGTCTGTTACCGTAAAATCCCGGTTACATGTACCCCATTGCCCACATCTACCGCGATTATAAGCCTACTATCACGCAATGAAGCCCGGTTGCAAACCCATAATAATAAACCAGCCTCGTCCCCAGGCTTCTCCGTCAACCTTCCAAAATCCAAAATGGCGTACGCTTCAGAGCTGACACGTCTGATCACATGCTTTATGTCATGCCGATAATAATATACCATTGTACAAATGAGTAGAAGCCCAAGGCTTATAAACCAGGTTTTACGGTATTTAATAAGAAAACTAGTTGTAAAAGACGTTTCGCTGAAATCTCGACAACATCATCAGGTCTAATGAAAACTCTAAACTCTACTATATGTAAATATAGCTAAATAACGTCCTTTTTTCACGAGGGTAGCAATTAATAGCCAGTGGCTAACAAACCTGTGGCCCTCATTCCGTGATCGAATTGGAATTTAGGAGTTGATTTTTGCGGAGGGAGGAAAACCGGAGAACCCAGAGAAAAACTCTCGAAGCACAGGAGAGAACCAACAAACAATTCTACTCGTATACAACACCGAACCCGGCGGAACTCGAACTCGGGTCGCATTGATGAGAAAACCCGTGCTTCCCTTAAGGAAGGAAGTGAAAGTTCAATCACACTTCCTTTAGCTATATTTACATCAAGATATAGTAGAGTTTACAGTTTTCATTAGACCTGATGATGTTGTCGAGATGACAGCGAAACGTTGTCTTTTACAACTAGTTTCCTTATTAAATTGTATTTCTAAAAGTACCTTTGTCAAGTTTTTACGGTATTTGTGATGATTATATATATTTTCAAATTAGTTTTCTTTTCTTTTCTTTTTGTTTGGTTCTTCATTCTCGTCAGACAATCCTCGTTTACCAGCTTTACCCAACATGCTTTCATTTCCAACGTTAGTGGTGTTAGCTTTTGCAACCTTGGAAAGAAAGTCGCTCGGCCAATCAACTTCTAATTCTTCATCCGACAAGTCATCTGTGCTGAAAATACTAGGGGTGATCACTGGGGCTTTCCCTACTACTGCATCTGTATTGGATACTACTTTAGCTGGGGGCAGTGACGTATTTGGAGAACTTGGGCTGACACTAGACATTTGTGTAGAGAGTTGAGACGATCTTTGAGCAGAAGGCTTTCGAAATAAATTCAGTATATTGTTATTTTGCGGAGAGATTTTTTTTGTTTTGTTCTTTTGACTCTCATTCTGCGTATTTTCTATTTGAGCCACAATATGAGCATCGCCTTTGGATTCTTGATATCCACTTGTGTCTGTTTGTGGAGGAACAAGCTGTGATTCTCTCCCTAGAGAAGCCGAACGTTCTTTAGCATTACCCGAGTCCTTTGTGTTCTTAACAGCGAATCGAGCCAAACGCGAGACGCTAGACGTTACACTAGCTGAACCCTTTTCATTGCTATTACCTATCTTGTTATCTTCAATAGTTTTCCCAGCCATGTTAATCTCGTGTTCGCGCTCACTTGAGTTGTTACCAGACGTCTCCACATCAAGGTCTTGAGTATTCGTTGATGCAGATCCCAAACTCGCTCTATCAGGACTCAATTTTTCGATATCAAATGCTTGAGAGGTTATAGTACCAGGAGAGGGTGTTCCTTCGCTATCATCGTCGTCAACAACCGCCGATTCGTCAATATCGGAACGGTGGTCACGTGACTTAAGCTCTTCCGTATCACGTATTTTCTTATCGCTGTTATCATCGATTTCACCATGCTCACGTGACTCGTCTTCGATAATGACTTGGTCTAAACTATGTGAGTTGCCACCAATATTCTCATCATTAAGCAGTTCATTATCGTGATCACGTGATGCGTTCCCTTCAGGTTCTTTGACGTCCCTTCCTGATGATTCGTTTGCTTCATTCTCACTACTCTTGTCATTATCTGTACTCACATGATCTAGACCACGTGATTCCCGTTCTTCGTCATCACCTCTTTCACTTTGATCACCAGGCTCCCTGGCCGTGTTTGGCAATGAATGAATCTTGTCCAGCAAATCATTCAAGCCGAGTCGTTTCAAGATAATCTCAGCCTGTAGCTTGAACTCTTCTTCTGGATCATCAGGGAATTTAGTGTGCAACGCGTTCATTGATCCCAGCAGCGCTGTTTTCTGCATGGAACATTCTATACATGTAACAGCTACGATAGCATCTTGAATGGTTACTTCTTTACGAGCCATTAAACGAGCATGTGCTTGCGCTAGACGAATAAGACTCTCTAGTAACCTCAGCGTTGTCCTGGCGGCGCTACGCGAGTCTGCTTGCCTTTGATTGTGATAATAACGACTTAACACACTGAAAATAGACCAAAATATATGCTGGTCATTCGGCCAAACCTTTCATCGCATTGGTCATTTCGAGGTGTACTCAACACAAGGTCGGGACTCCGCCAAAAAAGAAACGATGACGTCACACCGGAAAACGTTATTTGTTCCAGTTACGAGCTTTGACATATATGCACTCAAATTTAAAGAATAAGAGAGGTTGCAAGTATTTCGTGTTTATGCGCCAAAATAAAGATTCTAATAGCAAACAGCTGCGCGTATTTTTTAAAAAAGTGCAAAACTTTTAAGTAACATCGTATTAAATACGACAATAACGGCTCAGGTGAACCAATTTTTGCCTATAGAATCGAATTCCACTGACTTCTCAAGTGAAGCACCTCTAATCATTTCAAAACGCATAGGACTCGCTCTTAACAAAAAATACTACTTTGAACAATTGTTACAAGAAAAGAGATCAATTAAGAAGATAATTTTACCTGTTGCTTTCCGGAGTTAGTTTTGGTCGGAGTGATTTGACGTAACACAGATAAGCCTGCATTCTTTCCATGCTCCACAGTGTTTCATCACTGTCGCTGGTCGGGTGGCCTTTGCCTTCCAATATAAAAGAAGACACAATTCTGCAAACAAAAAATGTCACAAAATCTGAAAGGGGTTCATCTGGGTCCGGTTGTACGAAGGGGCAATAGCGCTATCGCAAGGATAAATCCTTATCCAGCGGATAAATTTATTGGATAACATCATCAATTTTATCCACTGGATAAGGATTTATCCGTTACTGTGATAGTGCTATCCACCCTTCGTACAACCGGGCCCTATAGACTCATACTATTCATTCATATTATACTGTAGAACAACGGATTTGACGAATAATTTAATATTTCACAAACAATCCATTGATTTTTTGATGAGATCCCCTCTTAAAACAGTCCTGGGCTAAAAAAAAGTGCATTCCATGGCAAAGAAAGCTAGGCACGCAACAAGTTTAATATAACTTAATTCTTAATAACATCATCACTGAACGACATAGTAGGGGAGGAGGTCGGTAACAAAAAATAAAATAAAATAAATAGATAAATAAATAAATAAATAAATAAATAAATAATAATAATACTGAAAAAAAAGCAACATGAATAATAAAAATATTAATATATGTATATTATTGTAAATAAATAAAACATCCACTTTAAAATAATGTAAGAGGAGGAGGTAGGTAAAAAAAAAAATCACTTAACGACGTTTTTTTGTTTGAAAATTGTTTTCCAACTTCAAGACCTTATTTATAAATTTCACTTTAAAAAAATGAATTTTTCTCCTTGAGTGATTTTCGAGACAATGAAATGATAAAACGCGCTGTTTAACGAGAAAAATCCAGAGACTGTACTAGAATAGACTTTTTCTGAGATAGCGAACATGGTGCATTGTGGTCTAGCTCGTGAACAAACACCTTTCGTTCACCATGCCTTGTATGGTGTTGTTTGTTTTGAAGCTAGAACACAATGTTTGTGAAACCTATGAGGCCTATAACTGCGGTCCATGGACCCACAACCAGTTCAAACTGGGGCTTTTGTGGCTTCCAATATTTTGACAACCCTTGTTAGTACCACTGGGGCGAGACCTGGGACAGTTAACATAAGCGATACCGTAAACCTCCGAAAATAATCCCCTCCGAAAATAAGCCCTTTATATTATCACCTGATTCTATTGTACTTCTATTGTTCTTAGATCAAAAAGGCACGTTTGGCAAATATAAGCCCTGGGCCATTGCTTATTTTGGAGGCTTACGGTATTTCGGTCTCTTTTTGCACAAAACGTACGACTTACGCTTAGTGCTGGCTCCGTCTGTAAGCGATTCGTAATTTTTTGACGTTCAACTGACTTATTCATCACGGTTCTCACCCAATCAAAAAGCGAGAAAATTTGCATTTGTGGTAAATGAAATTTTTGTTAAATAATAAAAGATTATAATAATAGAATTTATTGACAAAATTGATTTGCAATCCAGAGGATTGAAAAACTCAATATTTACAATTTGAATTTACGATTTACAATTTGAATTTGTATAAAATCTAAAATAAATAAATAAATAAATAGATAAATAGATAAATAGATAAATAAATAAATAAATAAAGATATCTACATAAATTAAATATTGATAAGTCAATAAAAATGTACATTTGTAAAACTGTCTATAATTGATTCATTAGTCCCACTTCCCAATACTTGTTATAAAACTGTTCTTGAACCTTCTTGTTCGGCATTTAAGGAGTGGTAGTCGTCTGCGTTTTCTTAAGCTATGGTTTTTAGGAGTGGGCTCAGGTAAGAGGTTGTATAATTTACTATCCGGGCGAGTGACGTTTTTGTAAAAGTTTTACACAAAAGTTCACGTCTTTCACAAAGGGTTGGAAGGTGGAGTTCTTTAAGGGAGTTCTTATATGACATTTGTGGATAGACTATTCGAAGCGCGTGCCGTTGGATGTCTTCTAACTAATCTTTGAGTTTAGATGTTAACGAAGAATGCCAAACGGGGCAAGCATACTCCAACAAGGGTCTGACAGAAGACGGATCGTAGATCTGTAGGTTGTACCCCACTTGTACCCCCGTTACAACAACGTCAAAACAAAAGGGGACGTAGCCCTAAATATGAAATATAGCGTATAGACCCTTTGCATGTGACGTACATTGAAAAGCGGCTCCATCTGGGAGAAGACAAAACAAAAGAAATCCAATCTCCTGAGAATTTGACCCTATTGTTTTGTCTCCCGGATTGAGCTCGGTCCAAAGTGCTGCAAGAGGTCTATTTAGACGCCAACTAAAACAGTCACTTACTTGTCCCATTCCTCGTTCTTTGAGTCTTCCAGAACAAAAACCAAGTCAAATCTGCTAAGTAGAGGGCTAGCAAGCGCGATGTTGACGGCTAAAGACTCGTCAGGGTCGTATTTTCCTTTAGGGTTAGTAGCAGCAAGAATACTTGTACGTGTTTTTAGTTTGCAGACCATGCCAGCCTTTGCTACACTGATAGTCTGTTGCTCCATCGCCTCATGAATACCTGATAAAGTAAAGTTTGTATGATTGTGAAATAATGAGGATATGTGATCACGCGCTGGATAGAATTGATATGTCTGATGAATCAAACACACCAGTTTCTGATCATTCGATTTTGACCCGTGCTATTCGTTTTCCTACCCATTCGATTTTGACCCGTGCTATTCGTTTTCCTACCCATTCGATTTTGACCCGTGCTATTCGTTTTCCTACCCATTCGATTTTGACCCATGCTATTCGTTTTCCTACCCATTCGATTTTGACCCGTGCTATTCGTTTTCGTACCCATTCGATTTTGACCCATGATATTCGTTTTTCTGACTAATCGATATTGACCCGTGCTATTCGTTTTTCTGACTAATCGATTTTGACCCGTGCTATTTGTGTTTCTAATTATTCGATTTTGACCCGTGCTATTCGTTTTTCTAACCATTCGATTTTGACCCGTGCTATTCGTTTTTCTAACCATCCAATTTTGACCCGTGCTATTCGTTTTTCTAACCATTCGATTTTGACCCGTGCTATTCGTTTTTCTAACCATTCGATTTTGACCAGTGTTATTCGCTTAATTAAACCATTCGATTTTGACCCGTGTTATTTGCTATATCAAACCATTGGATTTTGACCAGTGTTATTCG